TTCACCCTGTGCCCCTGCCCTCAGCACGCTCCCTAACCTTCACCCTGTGCCCCTGCCCTCAGCACGCTCCCTAACCTTCACCCTGTGCCCCTGCCTCAGCACGCTCCCTAACCTTCACCCTGTGCTCCCGCCCCTCCTCTCAGGACGCTCCCTGGCCAGTTGCATAGCCATCCCAGGGTGTGCAGGGAACGCTGACTTCAGAGCCGCTGCTTAGGGATGGGCAGGCTCCTGGGCATGAGCAGGAGCTGGTTAGAGGTGCCATGCAACTTCCGGGGACACTGACCAGCGCGGCAGAGTTGACATCCAGGAGACCCTCTTGTCAGATGCTTGTGTGGCTCGACTCTTCAAGAGCAGTGTTATCCCTGCTGGCCACCCAAAGCCTGGACAGCTGCCGCTCATGGCCAGGACCCCTGACCCTCGACCCCTTCCTGCCAGGCACACACCCAGACAAGGGCTTCTGGGTCCACCACTGCTGCAGACACGGGGTGAGGGGTCCCCGTCCTGCGCTGCCAGAGGCCTCCTAATGCAGGTGGGCTCCCTGGGCCCTCACAGGCGGCACACGGAGGTTGCCCGTGCCCTGACCCGCTGGAAAGCCCACAGGATTTTACCATCTGGTTCATCTGTGCTGGTGTTCATGAGGGCTGCTGGCCACACATCCATCCATACACGAGATGGATGGAGAAGAACATTACGAATCTGGATTCTGACTCTCCAGGCTCTGACTTGTCCAGGAGGTACCCACTCTGCGGCTCCTCAAGTGAAGTAGAGCAGAAGCATAGAAGCATGTCATCTGCCGCCAGCACCCGGGAGGGTTAGCGTGCGGCTGCAATGCTGCTGCTGCTGCTCCTGCTGCTGCTGCTGCTCCTCCTCCTCCTCTTCTTTTTCCTCCTCCTCCTTCTGTTCTCCTCCTCTTCCTCCTGTTCTACCTCCTCTTCCACCTCTTCTTTCTCCTCCTCCTCCTCCTCTCCTCCTCCTCTTCCTCCTCTTCTTTCTCCTCCTCCTCCTCTTCTCTGTTCTCCTCCTCCTCCTCCTCCTTCTTCACTAGTACTGGGGCTTGAACTCAGGGCCTGGGCGCTCTCCCTTAGCTTCTTTTGCTCAAGGCTAGCACTCTACCGTGTGAGCCACAGTGCTATTTCTGGTGTTTTCTGTGTATGTGGTGCTGAAGAATCAAACTCAGGGCTTCATGCATGCTAGGCAAGCACTCTACCACTGAGCCACCTTCCCAGCCCCCATGTATCATTTCTTTGGGGAACAGAAGTTCCACTTATTTTCCCATTCATTAATTGGATTACTTGATCTTCTATGAATACCTGACATAGCTTTCTTCCATTCTGTAGATTTTTTCTCCGCCCTCCCCCCCATCCTGTAGATTAAACTTATCATAGCGGGGTTACAGTTACATGAATCAGGTAATGAGTAATGAGTGCAATTCTTTTTAAACCATGTCTCCCCTTCTGTCTCTTTCTCCTGATTTTTCCCTCCTGCCCCCTACTGAGTATCACTGTTGTATTTGTTCATCCTCAATCACCTTTTAGATGCCCTCTCTTACCCTCCCCAATACACATTAACAAGCAAGACTAAAGGAAGAGAAAGAGCAGAGACAAAACAGCAACAACCACAACTAAAAAATGTCTCGTTTCCTTTTACTGGAGTTGATTTAATAGAATGTTATTTTATATGATCGTCTGTACATAGCTATTGAGCTTTTGTCCACCATTCCTATTCCTATTCCCCTTTGGCCTCAGTGTGTGTGTGTGTGTGTGTGTGTGTGTGTGTGTGTGTGTGTGTGTGTGCGTGTGTGTGTGTGTGTGCATGTGTCTATAGTGTGTGTGTGTGTGTGTGTGTGCGTGTGTCTATATATATATATATATGGTAGTTGTTTCTCTTTGTTTTTTCTTTCAGTTCCTGGGTTTGAACTCAGGGCTTACTACTTGAGCCAAGACCACAGCCTTTAGCAGTCTTTTAACTTAATGCAACCCCATTTGTCAATTTTTATTTCTTGAGTGATGAGTCCTATTCAGAAAAACTTTGTTTCTATCTTCATGATTTTTTTTTCTTTTTGGTCACGGGGCTTGAACTCAGGGCCTGGGCGCTGTCCCTGAGCTCTTTTTGCTCAAGGCTAGCGCTCTTCCGCTTGGAGCCACAGCGCCACTTCCCCCTCATGAATTTTTTTCTACATTTTCCTCTAACAGTTTCAAAGCTTCGGGTCCTACGTTAGGATCTTAGAGAAAAATAGATCTTAGATTCATTTTAAATGTAATTTTAAATTATATGATCAGAATAGAGATCTAGTTTTAGTCTTGTACATGTGGATAATGTTTCCTTAACACCATTTGTTGATTTGTCTTTTTTCTAATGTGTGTTTTTGGCATATTTGTCAGAAAGTAGAGGGCTGTAGTTATGTGGGCTCATTTCTGTACCTTCTGTTGCATTAAATCGATGTGTCTGTGTCTGTGCCATTACTATTATGATTCTGTAGTATAACTTGAGGTCAGGTTTTGTGGAAACT